TTTTAAAACTTATATGGACAAAATAATCCAAAAAAGTATACATATAAAAAAAAAAAGACAAATCTTCTTTATTAATAATATAGATATAGATATGCTCTATGACAAATTGCAGTTTTAGGACGATATATAGAATATTAAATATTTAGATCATTTTTAATACCAAAAGGAGATTATATGGAAAGTCTTCAGTTGGCTCGATCACCATGTGTTAGTACCGGAAAATGAATTCGGAGGCACTCGAAATACGAAGGTGCTCAAAATCCTAGGTGATCAGAAAATTGCAAAGAAGTTTCTGAGGAAGGACACGAAGACACTTTTCGAGAAACTCTCGAAATTATTGAACTAGGAAGGACGGTGCTCACAGCCTCACAACCTCTCAAAGTACAAGAAAAGTCAGGAAACACTCGAGTATATTTTTCGTTGGTTACTCGAAATTCCAAGAATCCGGACATACACGAACACACTTCGCAACCTCTCGGAATGAAGAGCTTAAAGGAGACACGATTTAAGAGTGGTTGAAGTAAATCATGGGATAAGTGTCAAAGGCTGCAAAACGGTTTGGGGAAGTTAATGAGCAGTTCCAAGAGTTATCCAAAGACGTGCCCGGGAATAAGCCAAGACGTGGAAGTTTAGAACTGTTATGCGCTTCCGGGGCACGTCAGAAACAGTTACCTTTCCCAGATTTTTGTCTATAAATTAAAAGAGCCATGCTCGTAGCAGAGGTCGAAAATCTAATTCCCACAATACCTCACATGCACTCCGCAGCCTGTGCATAAGGCATACTGTGCGTACGAGACAGCTTTGGGTACGATTTCTCGACCACCTTTCTTTTTCCTTTTTAAGGAGTAGCATAGCATAGCGTAGCATAGCATAATCTAGTCTAGTGTAGTGTAGTCATTCTAAACACGTTTCGTTACCCTTACGAATTGTAATTCTATTACCATTTAATGAAAACTCTATTTCTTACTTGTACGATTTTATTTTTTTCACTGAAAGTCTTTAATTCTGTCATGTCACGAACACGCATAAATTGAAACGTGAAATCGTACTAGTTCGAATAAAAGGGATCCATAAAACGAAATCCACCATAAACACCATGATAATTGAACAAAGCCACATAAGAAATACCCATTAACTATATCTTTAGTCACTTTGGTATCTTAGATATTCAGGACCTATTCATTACCTAATAGATCCTAAGCTTACCTCGTAGTTCCTGTATAGCTGAATGCCAACTTAGCCTAATCAAGGTGATCTTAGCACACTTGGTTGTCGAAATAGCTAGGATAGTCGAAATAGTGATTTTCATATGCTAAATACCTATTTGGTCTAGTTGCGAAGGACTTGACACCCTCGAGAGTCGAAGTAGTCGAAAGGGCCAAGGTAGATATATCTTTGAATCATCATAGTGTGGATTAAATAACTAGTGAAGACAATAAACAAGGTTAGAAAATTAATCTATCATTAGTAAATGTAACCTATTCGTAATTAGGAATCAAGACTCATCAAATTCAAACTCATTATGACTAGTATGAATAGTTACATAAATCAATATAAAATTATATATTGTTCATTTATTGTTAATCTAGATATTTCTATCGTACATTGACTTGAGCATCATAGTGTTTATTGTAGATATCTCATCCTTGAATTGATCGACAATATCCAAGCAACAAACACCATAATTCAAGATGATTACTACAAGAAGGAACATAGTTGTTGAAGATTTCCTTGCCGGTGACGGTCATGTAGAAGTGGTCAACAAGACAGATCTATTGGAGGTTATCTGCCAATTGAGAGAGGAAATGACAATCATACACCAACAATTCCAAAAAGATGTCAAGTAGTTATTAATAGCGTTGTCGAGTCATTATTAAAAGTAAACTAGATTTTTTCTAAAAATTTGCAATACAAAAAACAACTTAGGTCATTCTTCATGAAGACACAAGCACATTAAATTTGTATTTTATCATGCAATTAGGAAGTAGATTTTTAATATTTGAACAATATTCAATCAACAAACAAAGAATTAGGAATTAAAAATTCAATCAGAGAAGTATCAATTCAAGGTTTTAATATGTACAATAAAATTTTCATAGTTCGACATTAAATCCAAATTCTCAATCAACCTAATTCAACATGAACTTAGTAAAAAAAATGTAGATCTAAATTTAGATTTATATATGAATTTCATAAAAACATGAAACGCAATCGCGATCTCGCAATGTTAATAAAGTTCAAGAACGATGAACGGTTGAATTAGACTATTTAAGTTATTTTAGGTCTAAATCTAAATCTAAATTTAGATATAAAATTAATCTTCAATCTCTATTTTAGATCCAAAGAGAAATTCAAAATCATGAAATATGAAAGAAAAACCTATAACAAAAAATAAGAGAAACAAAGAATTAATTTGTTCAATAAAAAGACCGACAATTCAAATTTTATCGTAATTCATGAAACCTTAAATTGAATGAATGAATTAGCCACACATCTTCATTAAGATGTTGTAGTTCCTTCATGTAGAAAAATGTAAAGAGAAAATTTTAAGAGAGAAAAAGAAAAGAGAGTGAAGAGAGGATTAAGAGAAACTTGTAGAAGAAACAACCTAAAATTTGAAAAATGGGTGTAAAGTGCCAAGTGTACATGTGTTACACTTATTTATAAACTACACTAATGGGCCTAATTTGAGTAATTAAAGGTCCATCCCACTAAATTAACTAATTACATCATTATACAAATCTTAACATTAAAATCAAAAAGGAAAAAGAAAATACTGTGCAGGCCACAACTTTGAAACACATTTTTAGGTCACTTAACATTTGAACTGGCCTTTTCTCCAATAGAGAAGTTGTAGAACTCTCTCTTATCTTTCTAGGGACACCAAGAACACCCAAATCTAATGTCGAAAGCTCTAGATATGGCCAACACAAAAAATAATGTCAAAATGGGAAAAATTATGAAAAATAACTAGTACTTACAACTAAGACCAAAATGAACCACTAAAACAAATCAAAGCTAATATATCACAATATGGTACTAATAAAAGTCAAATAAACCAAAAATAATGCATAGAAAGATATACAAAAATTAGCCTATCAGTTGTCAACATTACGACAAGAGAACGATCACCCCAGGAGCCAACACCCATCTTAGAGGTCATCCCATTAGACGCAAATACAACGCGAGGTGTCATCTCTCCGGGAAATTATGATTCTTTGACCAACCTCTCCTCGACCACTCTAATTCGCATTGATCTTGACCAAAGCAATACATTCCAACAAGACCTCATTGACACCCTTTTGTTCTCAACATTATGTAAACACGGCTTCATGACAATTGGAAATCCATCCCCCTTGATAGATACGACATCTCAAACCGTAACAATCACATAGATGTTTTCCTTACCAAAGTCACTCTATGTATGACCAATAATGCAACATTGTGTCACATTTTCCTTACCTCTCTAAAAGAAGGACATTAAGTTGGTTTACTCATCTTCCACCCAATTTGGTCAAATCTTTCAACACCTTTGCCTCTCATTTAATGATCCAATTCACTACCAACACACCTATCAACTAACCTTGTTAGCATTAGTCAATATTCGATAA